GGGTTTTCTTGCTGTTCTTTTTCAATTTGTTGGAGATGTTGGGTTAGAGAGTCAATGGTCATTTTTTCCTGCCTTTTGATATCTTTGCTTATTGCTATAAATTGACCTCTGATTACCATTTTGGCTGTTTCCCAGAGATTTTGGTAAGTGGTATTTCCATTGTCATTTGTTTCAAGAAACTTTGTAATTTCATTTTTTATCTCTTCTAGTATTCACTCATGTTTAAGCAAGGTGCTGTTCAGCTTCCAAACATATGGGCTCTTCTCCTTTATCCTCTTGTTATTAATTTCTCATTTTGTAGCATTGTGGTCTGAGAAAATGCTTTGTATTATTTGTTTTTTAATTTATTGATGCTGCCAGCCTTTTGACTTAAAATGTGATCTATTTTGGAGAACGTTCCATGCACACTGGAGAAGGTATACTGTTTTTGGGGGGTGCATTAGCCTATAAATATCTATGAGGGCAAGTTGGTTTATTGTGTGGTTTAATTCTTGAGCATCTTTGTTTCTCATCGTTCTTATCGTTTCTTGAGAGGAGTGTATTGAAGTCTCCAACTACTAGTGTTATTTCCTTTTTCAGTTTTGTTAATGTTTGTTTTATATATTTTGCAGGTCTTTCGTTTGGTGCATAGATATTATTGTCATGTCCTCTTGTTCTATTTTCCCTTTAAGTATTATGTAGTGACCTTCCTTGTCCTTTGTGATGGTTATTGCATTGAAATTTATTTCATCAGAGATTATTAATATCGCTACTCCTGCTTTTTTCTGGTTGCCATTTGCTTGGTATCTCTCCCCCCCCCCCATCCTTTTTTAGTCTTTATCTTCATTTTTCAAGTGTTTCTCTGTAGACAGCATATTGATGGATTTGGGGGGTTTTATCCAATCTGCTACTCTTCTTCTCTTCAGTGGTACATTCAAACCATTCACACTCAATGTGATTACTGAAAAAGCAGGGTTTTATTGCTATCATTTTATTGAGTTCTTTTTGGTGTTGCTGCTACTTACTTTGTTCCATTCTGCTTTCTGTGGTACCTCCTCTGTAAGAAGGACATCTTTTGAGTGTTTCCTGCAACACTGGTCTTCTTTTTACAAACTCTCTTAGGTTCTGTTTTTCTGGGAATATCTTGATATTACAGTGGCTTTACTTGTCTTCCTGTTTTTGGATTCCAATGATTTGCAAGCTGTTTCTCTTGTAGGTGTCCCACATTATTCTTAGGTTTTCTTCTTTTTCCTTCCTTTTTGATTCTTTTTGCTCTAGCAGATCAGTGGTGACAATTCTATCTTCTATTTCACTGGTTCTGTTCCATCTCTTCAACTCTGCTCATGTGTCACTCCATCATGTTGACAACATCTGAAACATTCGACCTCATATTTTGGATTGTGGTTTATTTTTCCAGTGCTGCTAATGCCTTGTTTTATCTGCATTGTTTTGGATTTTTTTTTGTTTTTTTAGCTCCTCCTGGCTTTCACTTGCAGTATCCTGTAATTCTTCAAGTTTATCTTTCATCCATTGAAAATATTCAATTATTATTCTTTTAAATTCTGTGTCAGACAGTTCTATCAGACTTTCTAGCTTCAGGACATCCATTGATACTGTGGCACCTTTTGGGGGATGATATCTTGCTTTGCACATGTGTAGTATGTGGGATAGCTTGCTTTCTTTGAGACAACGGTATGTTCTTGATCTGAAGACAATGCTCTAGATATCAGTTGGGCAGTTACTCCACTTGTGTTTTTCTCTGAAGTTCTGACTCAAGGGAAAGCTTAATTCAAAGCCTGTGAGAACAGCCTCTTTTGGGTAAGTCAGATCTAAGTGCTCCGTATTAAAGGCAAGTTGATTGACTGGATGTGTAGGTACAGGTGTGGAGCCAAATGAGGGTGGGGCAGGCACAGGGGGTGGGGTGACCACAGAGCTAACCACTTGCGGGACCTCACTCAGACCTCAGCTGTCTGCATGTGCTCTGAAGTTGGGTCCCTACTTAAATTCCAGCCGTCTGTCTCCCACCCAGCAGCTCTTACTCAGTGGTCCCTGCCCAGCATCCCTTACCCAGGTGCCCTTGCGCAACAGCCCCTGCCCCAGCAGGTCCCTGGGTCCAGCAGGACCTGAGAAGACTCAGTCAAATTCTCACCAACCCACTTGCCTCTGGCCATTCTGCATGTTCACAAAAGTTCAATTTCCCACCAGCCCGCTTACTCTTGGGTGCTCTCCCAGGCAGTCAATGGTACCTAAGAAAACTCAGATAAATTCCCACCAGCCCACCCATTCCTGTGGCCCAAGAGAACTCAGCCAAATTCCCACCAGTGGGCTCACTCCTGGGTTCTCTCCCAGGCAGCCGATTGGCTGTGCCCAAGAAAACCCAGTTAAATTGCTACTGGCCCACCTGATTGTGGGTGGTTGGCCATGGCACAAGAAACCTCAGTGAAATTACAACAGATCCACTCACTATCAGTGAGGCTTAAGAGAACTCTTAATTTCTTCCAGAGATGGGTCCCACAGCAGCTCGGCTGGCGGCTTCTGGCTTTGGCCGGGCCTGTGACGCAGCTCTATGTTCCTGTAGCTCCATAACTAATTGTTCCAACAAAAGTTCTGATTCAAATTCCTACTGTCCACATCGCACTGTTTCAGTCGGTCTCTCTAGTGGCCCGTCTCTATGCAGCTTTCACACTGCACTCTCCACCACTGCCACCTTAGAATCACCCCTTCATTGTGTTTTGGAAGCTGTAAATGTTAATGGTAGAAGATTGCCTCATCTTTATCCTACATAGTAGCAGATGGATTCGAGCTACCCACCTTGTGGTTAGCAATCCAACATATAATGTGCACTCAAGCCACTCATAAATTGTAAAGTGTTCTATAAAGGACAAAAAGTGTTCTCATTCAATCAATTCCAACACATAGTGGTCCTAGGCAGGGCCTCTTTGAGGCCCTATAGAGCCTTATAGGGTTTCCAAGACTTTCTAGAAACACTTTCTTCCTCCCTCAAGCAGCTGTTAAGTTCAAACCATAGACTTTCTGGTTAGCAGCTCACTGCTTAATCATCATGCCACCAGGGTTTGTAAACACTTAACTAAATGATAAAGCTGGAATCTGCAAATTTTTCCTGTGAAGGACCAGATAGTATATATTTTTGGCTTTGCAGGCCATATAGTCTGTCCCAATTACTCAATTATACAAAGTATCCATAGACAATATGTAAGTATGGTATTCTTTATGCAAGTAACACCAATCTAAACTTTTTGCTAATCACCTTCCCCCTCATGTATTTTTTAAAAGCTCATTATGCCAATTTACATGTGTATGTCACTGTAAAACAACTATCATTATCAGTCATAAAAATATCATTAGGAGGAAGAGAGTGATTGGCAAGCATAGCAGACAGAAAAAAGAAAACAAATCATACTTAGCAAACAACACACAAGGTTGGTGTTATTTGTGCAAAAATGTAGTTAAGTCGGGTTGTATTCCAATAAAACTTTATGGAGACTGACATTTGAATTTCATATACTTTTCAAATATGATAAATTCTTCTCAATAATTAAAAATGTAAAAACAGGTAAGTGAGCTGGATAATTTGCCAACACTTTAAAGTATCTCATAGCCTTCCTCACAGTGTAAAAATCTATGCCTTTAAACAGAAGCTCATTTCTTTGGTAGCTGTCTTGCCTTTTGCCAACTCAAAGCATCTTGTAACTGTTACCTTTGTACTTCCTGCTTCTTTACTCACTGAATCCCTTTTCCTCCTCCAGGTGGTGGGCTCCTCCATGCCACTCATTGGAGACCACCAGGATGAAGACAAACAGCTCATCGTAGAGCTTGTTGTCAATAAGATGGCCCAGGCTCTGCCCAGGCAGCGGGATGCCTCCCCGGGCAGGGGCTCGCACAGCCAGGTCAGGCCCCTGGCATTGAACAAGGGCCAGGCTGGCCTTTTGGGGTAGAGTAGGGGACACCAAACAGGTTTGTCCTGGAGAGGGTGAAACTGGCTGCTCTTTGGAGACAAGGATTCTGAAGCTCCGTTTCACATACTTTGGGCATGTTGCAAGGAGGGAACAGTCCTTGGAGAGGGACATTATGCTTGGAAAAGTGGAGGAACAGTGCAAAAGAGGAAGACACTCAATGAAATGGATTGATTCAGTGACTGGGATAATGGGGGGTAGGTGTGTCAGAGACAATAAGGTTGGCTCAGGATACAGCAGGGTTCAGAGTTGTACAGAGGGTAGCTATGAGCTGCAGCCAACTTGACTGCACATAATAACAGGGGACACCAGTCTCCAGTCATATGGTGTCATAAAACTTGTAACCCTAACACGTGGCTGAGTATATTGTCATTGCCAACAGTATTACTATTATGTATGTGTGGTGGCAGTTATCATTTATTTTAAAAATTGATATAATAGCCAATACACTTGCTTCCTCAAGTACTTCTTGACCCCTCTGCTGGAAAGGAGCTCCACCTCTCATTCCATCTGCTTTGCTCAACACCCAGAACAGAGGGAACCCATGTCATTCTGATTGGGTGAGTCTATTTGCGGGTAACCATTTTTAAGCTTTCTCTTGTTTCAACCCTTTGCCAGCAGATGCCATCCCCCGGGGCCTTGCCTGTGGGTCGTCAGACCTCTCAGCAGCCTGCTGGGCCCCCAGCTCAACAAAGACCTGCACCACAGGGTGAGTGAGCTTTCTCAGACTACTATCCTGGCAGCTCCTTTGACCTCTCACTTGCTTACTCTCACATGTGTGCTCTCTCCTCAGGTGGCCCTCCACAGCCAGGCCAAAGCTCCCAACGCCAGGGAGTTCCATTGCAACAGCGTCCATCCCCACAAGGCCAGCAGCACCTTTCAGGCCTTGGACCCCCAGCTGGCAGTCCCCTGCCCCAGCGTCTACCAAGTCCCACATCAACATCCCAGCAGCCTGTGCCCCAGGGCCCACCACTGACCCAGAGTCAAGGTCGCCAGTCCCGTCCAGTAACTGGAGGAACTGGGGCACCTCCAACAATCCGCCCACCTGCCTCTCCATCACCCCAGCGCCAGGCAGCACCCCCACCGGCTACTCGTCAGACATCTGTTTCTGGTCCAGCTCCACCAAAGGCCTCAGGGGCCACACAGGGTGGGCAGCAGCGCCAGGGACCACCCCAAAAACCCCCAGGCCCTGCTGGCCCTACCCGCCAGGCCAGCCAGGCAGGTCCTGTACCCCGTACTGGGCCACCCACCACACAGCAGCCTCGGTCCAGTGGTCCTGGCCCTGCAGGACGCCCCACCAAACCACAGCTGGCCCAGAAACCCAGCCAAGACATGCCATCACCTGCCACTGCTGCTGCCGGGGGACCCTCACACCCTCAGCTCAAGTAAGGGGATCCCCATAGCAGTCTTCACCTTGCTGCTCACAAAATGAGCTCCTGTATAGGGCAGCCTACATTCCCATGTCCCTCTAATGCCCTAAACACTTCCTTTCCAATCTAAACCAATTCCTCCCCTCTGCCAAGCTATTACTTTTCCTGGTTTCTTGGCAAGCAAGCCCTCCTTCCATTCCAAATCCTCTTCCTTCAAGTATCTGGGATCTGGACCCAATCTCCCAGAAAAGTTGCAATGTTCTAACCCCTTCCAGTAGATCCTACAAAATTCTCCTTCAGCCCATTCCAGACACTTTGCTGAACCTCCCCCCTTCACTAACTTCCTGCTCATCTCAGAATCTTTTCTACCAAACTCATCTTTCTGTATATTCTCAGATGCCTCCCAACCAATCCACAAAACTCCTGGCCCAATCCCTAGTCCTCCCTTTGTCACTTCAGCTCTTCAAAGTTGACCGCCATCATTCCCCAGCAAGTTATCTGGTCTGTAATATCATCCTATGGATTTTCTGGCCCCTTCCAAACTCCCTCCTCCTCAGTTCAAAAGTGCTCCATGCTTTAACTGTTCCCCTTCAGATTTTCTTGTACAAGCCTGTCCAGAATTACATCTCTTCAGTCCAACCCTCCTCCCATGACATCCTAGATGTCTCACCTTTAGGCTGGAATCCTCCCTGCTCATCATCTCCTTGATTTGACATTTCTCAGTCTAGCCTAGAATTGAAAGATTCAGCCCACGATTCTTATTCCCTCATTTTGGATCCTAATCTATTCCATATCTTACTTCCTTGACCAAAGCTCCTCTCAAACCTTGAGTTTGCCCAGCCTTGAGATACCTTCCAGTCCCAGGCTCAATACAGTGGGTGGGAAGGTCACAGGCACAGCCCAGGGTTCAGAAGAGCAGGGCTGGGGCCAGGCCTGGGGTAACGACTTTGTGTTTCTCTCCCATTCCTCTCCCTCTTTCCCCCTTCCTCCCATGCTTCCACCTTGTCTCTCTCTAGCAAGTCCCAGTCTCTGACCAATGCCTTCAACCTTCCAGAGCCAGTCCCGCCCAGGCCCAGCCTTAGCCAGGATGAGGTGAAAGCTGAGACGATCCGCAGCCTGAGGAAGTCTTTCGCCAGCCTTTTCTCCGACTGACACCCCACCCTGAGCTATCTCCAAATCCCTGGCAACCCCTCTCTGTGCCCTGAATTCACTTATCACTTTTGGAACCTCCAAATCCCCTGAGAACTCCTCTCCTAGTTTGCCAAGATCCTACTTTCCAATTCCTTGAAATCCCCAAATCCTTTAGAAACCTCACTCCTGGTCATCTTCAGACCTACTTCTCAGTTTTAGAACACCCAAACTCCCAAAGACCTCTATTCCTGGTCCCTCCAGAGTGCCAATTTCCTTCCTGGAAGCACTCTACCAACAGGCAACCTATATATACCACAGCATCCCCCTTCTGGAGCCCTGACATTTCTGGAAAACCCTACTACTGGTTCCAGATGTCTCAAACACACCTTTTTCCCCATGAAAATTTGCAAAATCCTTAGGAAACACCTACCTTTGTACCTCTTTCTATGGATTTCCTGTCTCTTTGGAGATCTACATCTTTAAATACCCTCACTACTCTCAAGGATTTCCTTTCACTCTCCCTCAAACTCATTCAATACACTGGGAAATCCTCCTATTCCCAGGTCCCCTTAGTTCTCCCAGGGACCCCATCCTCAAAATTCCTGCCTCTGACAGCTCTTTAAATATGCAAACTCCACCTATCCTTGCAGAATCCTTTGCAGTGGTCCCCACCTTTTGCTGTGATGTCTGTATCTGTGACTGATGTGGCCTCCTTCTGTGCCATGCTTGGCATATGTGGTCTTCATTCATTGTGCTGCCTGTGGTAATGTGTATGCTGTGATGCAGTTTGTGTGGTTTGCACCTCACTTCCCTCAACCTCCACTCCTTGCCTGGACTTACTCCCACCCCTCTATGACTCTGCAACCCCAAGAGAAGAGTCTAAAAGCAAAATAAACAAGCAAAGGTCCAGCAGAAGTCTGTGCTTCTTGGTGAAGTAAAAGGGGATATCTTGAATTAAGAGACACAGAGAGTACTCCAAACCCACATGAAGTGCTCGGGACCCTCAAATCCAGTGGAAGGCAAATCAGGTACAAATTCTAGAGAAGTTCTGAATGGAATCACTGTAAATCCCAGTCATTTGAGGTGGGAGGAACTCCCCAAATTTAGAAGTATCTCCATATCCAAGAGTAACCAAATGATGAAGGAGGCAGCAATCTCAGTCTTTGAGTATACCTCAATTCCAGAAGAATTTGTAAAGCATATGGGGACCCCCACTTCCTGAGTAGGGGATGAGGGGTCATGAGTTAATTACCAGGGCAGAGACAGAACACTGATTGGTTGGAAGGTAGGGCTCCTTGGCGTAGCAAGCTGAGATTGGCTCCCTGGTAGCTGGGGACAAGGGCTAAGGCACAAGGCGGGCTGCGTTGAGTAGGCAGGCAGGCAACTCATCAGCCTGGGTGCGGTGCAAAGAGGGCTCGGAGGCACTTCGCTCAATCTTGGGAAGTGACCGCTGCAGCAACTCAATTGTGGCCAGGATCTGGAGGAAGGTGGGTGGTGAGGAGGAGCATCCAAATCCCCAGGTCATCCCAATACTCCCAAACCCTAGCCTTATATGGACATACACACTCTTTCTCTCCCTCTCTGCATATCTTTGATCCCTGAACAGTTTAAATTTACACTTTTGTGTCTTTCTCCACCTCAGAGGGCTCCTTCCCAAGATGCTCAGCCTGCCTACCCAGCCCACCTGGGGGAAGAGGGGTCGTTCCTCCCGCTGGAACTTGAGGCAGTCAGACAGCAATCGACGCATTGCCTTCGGGCAGTTGCTGGAGATTTTGCTGAGATCCGGGGACAGATAGCCACGGCCAACCATAAAGATAATCTGGTGGAAAGGGATCAGTAAGGGGTGATCCAGGAGTCTACACCAGGAGACCCAGGACATTCGGGGTTGCTAGGATTCAGAGGGCCCTGTTTGGGGGATCTAGGATATACTGGGTACTGGTGTCTAGAAACTGGACCAAGGATTCTGGGGTTTCTTACAATATGAAAGGAGTCTGTGCTTGTAGAATAAAGGAATTTAAATTTTGGAAAACTGAAGAATTTAGAATATTTGGAGCCCAGAAGATTATGGATTCACAGATTGGTGTGAGGCTGCGAGTGGGGGTGAAGAATGGGTGGTGGTGGCATGGTTCAGAGGCCTGGAAAGTCCCAAGTCGAGGGGAAACATGGACTTCTGGGGTTGGGGAGAATCTAAGGATTCTAGCCCTCAGGAACTTACAGGTTTGTGAGTGTCTGGGACCAGAGAACTGTATGGGTCCATAAGACTTATAGGGCCTAGAGAGCATCTAGACCCTAGAGGATCCTGGGTTTCTCAGAAAGATTCCGGGTCTTGACCTCAGAGAATTGAGTCTGAGGCCTAGAGCATTGTCAGGCCCAGGGCTCAGAGGCCTGCTGGATTCAAGGCCTGGATGATTAAGATGTCTGGAAGCACAAAGGGATTCTGGTTTTAGGACAAATGGAACTCTAGAACTTAGGGACTTGGGATATTTGGAGTCCCTGGCAAGAAGACTATAGGTGTCTATTGATCAAGAGTGCCTATGTGCACTTGGGCCTACAAGGGTTTTAGGTATAAGGAATTCAGGCTCTAGACTTTGTGGATTCAAAAGACTGTGGATAAGGGGAAAATAATGAATCCTAAGCATGAGGGTACCAGAGGATTAAGGGCATCTGGAGCATGAAAGAACCTGCGCATTCTCAACCCACAAAATTTCGGATTTATGGTTAAGTGTGACATTCCTAGTTTGTGTAAAGGAAGGGATCTGGGTTGCAAAGGCCTGAGGAGGATTGTTAGCCCAAGAAATTGTAAGTAAGGTGTGGGGCTCACCTGATCACGGCTGCCAATGTGGCTGTAAGGCAGTGAGCCTGTCATGAGTTCATAGAGTACCACCCCATAGGCGTACACGTCTGACTGGAAGCTGTAGGGATTTGGGTCTTGCATCCGGATCACCTCAGCCGCCTTTGATAGACCAGGCCGGGGAGAGGGTGGGATGGGGGAATGACATACACCATGAAGTCAACAGATGGCTGGCCCATAGTCTCACATCCCACTAGCCATACTGCATACAAGCTGAAACATGGAAGTGGGCTGTCCACCTGCCCATACCTGGCACAGATAAATCATGGAACTGTGCTGTCTAACTGCACACGGGAACAGGCACAAGCCACCAAGTCACAGGCCAACTCAGTCCCTCGCTGCTCAGCCCAGGAGCCTGTGCCCCAATATAACCTTGGTCAGACCCAGCTTAACTCACCATCCATAGAACAGAGCCTGAGGGCTGCTCTAAAGGCTGGGCCCCACTCCACCGCGTCTTCACTGTGGCCAGGCCAAAGTCTCCAATCTTTACTGTGAGTCCCTCATGTAGGAAGATGTCCACCAAGGTCAAGGGCCACTAGAGAGGTTCCCCAGAGCCATGCCTCCCACCCTGACCAGAAATCTCCCCATATACACAAATTATCCACAACTTTGACTCAGGTTGGGGAGCTCTGATTAATAATGCTCTCTTTGGCCCCATTGCGGCTCGTGAATAACAAGCCTCTCCAATGACACTCAAATATAACATGCTTATACTCTTTAGGAATTCCTTGGAATGCCCTCTATAAATGCCATTTTCTAGGCTTTGATCAGAGTATCCAAGGGCAGTATCTGAACTAGATACATCTTTGATTCCTGACCAAAAGACCCTTACTAAACCTTGCACATCAGTCAGTTATTTCTACTTAGTAAGAAGCTACCTATTGTATAGGTATATTGTATAGGAGCATATCCTCCTTCCTATCCACTCCCATTCTCTCTCTCTCATGATCACTGAGCTGAAACAAACTCAAGGTTTATCTAACTCCAGTTGAGCTTTCATGGCTGTCAATCACACAGGAGAGGCTGCCATTTATTTTTCTCCTGGGGTTGGGGGTCACTGATGTATTTGAAGCATCAGAGTGGCTCAGCCTTTGGGTTAGTAGTGCAACTTCCTATGTACAATGACACCAGAGTTCCACCTCCACTGAGCCCCCATAAGAGCCTCAATCTGCCTAATATACACTTTAAACAGAGATAGGCAGATACTGTTGGACTTGAGATCTCGATGGATGATGTTCTTTGCATGGAGGTAGCTGTAGAGGTGGAGACAGGTGGTGAAATGGCTGAAGTCCACCACATCTTCCCCCTACTCCCAGTTCCCTCATTCCGCTCATTAGTTCCCAGGAAAAAGAGGCTTACTCCATGCCCTGAGCAGTCTGCCGGGCCACATCGATGAGCTGAACCATGTCAAAGCGTGTGTCTGCCACATGCAGATGGTGGTATAGGCTAGAGCCCTCACACCACTGTGTGATGATGGCAAATCCTGGCCGGGTCATGAAGCCCATAAACAGCAAGATGTTGACATGTCGCGTCTTCCTGTAAGCAAGGAATACAGTATAATGGTCAAGGAGGAAAATGTTATTCATTAATGAGCATTAGAAATGGCTCTGTGTCTACTATCTTCTCCTGTCACTCATTTTTTACTCTGTCATAGAAAGCTCAGGGTCACATAACTGCCAGAGTCAGTACATTTTTGAGAAGTGTTTTCTAGGCTGTGATTTTAAGCCAGGAGCTTCCTCATTTAAATCTCCCAACAACAGTAAGGGAGTTGGAATGGAATTACTATCCCACTCCTCTGCCTAGAAGCAGCATCTCTAATCATGCCTTACAATTTTTCATTAGCACCTTCCATGCCTCTCTGACCACTACCTGGACTTGTCATCACTTTACAGATGGGGAAGTGGAATGCCAATCCTCTTCATAGATATATTAGTGTAATAATGATAACTGCAGGGTAAAAATATTGATGTCATGCAATAATTATTCCTGCTAATCACTGTGAAAGGCTTAGAGATAAAGAATATGGAATTTGGCTCAAGTTATGTTATGTGTTAAAATCTAAGCTTCACCAGTTAGTCACTGTGCAATTTTTAAAAGGACATTTTACCTTTCTGTGTGTTATTAATTTTCAATTGTGAATTAGTGGTAATTATGTTAACTAATTATAAGGATGTTTAGAGTAGTAAATGAGTAAACAAAAGGAGTAAATCAGTGATATGCTTAGTAACTATAAATGTCACAATTCTTATTATTGCTACTGTATATTTGTGAAGTAGTTCAAGAAACTGTCACATGAATTGTTTACCCCCCATAAGTCTGAGCAACAGTAATAAACAACAAGTTTAAATGAAAAATTTCATCCTTTTAGAATCATTAACTGCAATTTTAAGAGTAACATACATGCAAGAAATAGCAATGATGCTCGTATCAGAAATAATAGAACATACCTCTTAAGAATGTTAAGATTATAATTACAATATTATGTAATACAAATTAAAAATATAATAAAAACATTCCTATTTCATAGAGGAAACCAAGAATATGAGTGTCTAGACTATGGCATCCACCATGAAGATAAAGCATAAGCAACAATGATAATATCAACTCTGTGAAATAATTAGGCTCCATCAACAGAGAAGAAAAGCTTACATTGGCATCCCAAGGAGTGTAGTAACCTCAGGAGTTAAAAGGGAATGTCAAAGTTTCCCTATCTGAATGAATTAATACAGTATTAATTATACATTATATAACAGAAATTATCATAATTCATTAGATTAGGTTATGCTTATGTTTTTAAAATTATGATATTACTGTAATTAATGCAACATAATATTAATGATATAATATAAAGGGAAAGGAAAGAAGAACACAAGTCCTCCTGATGATGTAGTTAAACTAACACTGTGTTCTTCAGGTAGCTAATAAAATAATATTAATGTTCTTCTAAAATCACACCTATTTCACAGTAGGGAAATGAGATAACCATATTTTGGGAAGGGATACAATCATCATTTACTAATAATATTAACTTACACAATAATACCATCAGATGTCCTATAAACAGGGAAAGGGGTATTGCTGATAAAGGAACAACTTCTGATTAACACTTCCACCCCACCTCTCCCCCTCCACAAGCTGGTGTACTCTCTCACCTGAGCACCTGCATCTCATTCTTGAATGCTTGTGCTTGTTCAGCTGTGGGCTGGGTCACCTTAAGCACCTTCACAGCCACATCACCATGCCAGCGCCCTCGAAACACAGTGCCAAATGAGCCTGTTCCAATCCTCTTCAGCAGCTGTACCTCACTGGGTGGCACTTCCCAGTAATAGCCCGAGTCCCGGTATCCCAGGTTCTTCTGTAGGCCAGATGGGCAGTATCTAAGGGCCTGCCCACATCCCTCAGTCTGTGGTGTGCCCCTAAATGGTCACCTATGAGCTTACCACTTTCTTCTTGTCATCACCGAAGGACTTCCGCTCCCGCTGCTCTGAAGGTGATTTGGAATGTGGAGACTTTCTCCCTGAGGACATGTTGGCCAAGCTGGGATTTCCCCAGAGGACTCCACCACCAGTACCAGTAGCTGAGGTTGTGGAGAGGATGTGAGTGAAGGCAAGTGGGGCAAGGGTGGAGTTCAGGGTGCAGGCAGGGGATAGCTCACCATCAATGCTGAAATTCTGGGCAGTGAGCTGAAAGGAGAGGACAGGAGTCAGAGAGCATATAAATACTAACAGGAATAATTATCCCCTCTGCCCAGTGAGTGGTCCTCCATTACTACCCTCTTAGGACCAACCTGGATGAAACTGGAGTCTGTGAGAGCTGTGGTGCTGATCATATGAACATTGGGAGTCGATGTAGAACGAATGCGCTGGAGAGGGATATTGGCTGGGTGCTGGGTGCAGGAGCTAATGGGACAAAGACTATGAAATCACTGTTTAATGAATCAGAGATATAATAAAACCCCTTAATCACATCATAAGCATGCACTTAGCCCACACAAAGTAAACATCTAATATTATTACTATTACTCATTTGTTCAACAAATATTTATTGAATGAATGGCTGCTATGAACCAAACTCTTGTTCTAGCTAGGGGTTGGAGATAACTGAACAACATGAATCAAAGTTCTGGCCCTTGTGGAATTGACATTCCAGTAGGGGAAGAAAAATAAAACACACCAAAGACATATTTAATATGCCCAAGAGCGCTAAATATAAAAAAGAGGAAAAAATTAAGCAAAATGAGATAAAAATGTTGCTGAGAGTATCAAGAAATTCTCTGAGCAGGAGGCATTTGAGCAAAGACCTAAAGAAAGCAAAGCAAGCCACATGAATCGTTAAGTTTTGTTATGTGCTATCAAGTCAGAACCCACCAGCAGGTTTTCAGAAGCTGAAAATCGTATGGGAGGATAGTGCCCATCTTATTTACAATTAGGTATATTAAGAAGCTCTGGTGGCAAGAGGCTGTGCTTCAACCCTAAAGGCACATAGTTTAAATCAACCAGACGTTGGGCGGAAGAAGGACGGGTAATCTCCTCCCATGTGATTAATTGCCTCTGAAAACCTGCCGGAGGGTCAGCTATAGGTTGGTTCAACAATTCAAATGTTCTATGTAATATTATATGCAATATGTATTAAGATAATAAAAACTATCATGCAGTAGATTTCAATTCATGGCAACCCATTGTGTGCTAGAGTACAAGTGTGTCCCAGAGGGTTTTCAATGGCTGTTTTTTTGGTTTGTTTTTTTTTCCTAAGTAGACTGCCATGTCTTACTTCCAAGGTGCCTCTGAGTGGACTCAAACTTCAATGGAGCAGCCAAATGCTTTAACTGTTTGCACCACCTGAGGATACCATATTATAATAACATATTTAAAATATACACATTATTTAGGCATATTATAGTGTTATCCTGAAATGAAATTCATAGGTAATTAATCCATTTATAGTAAGTCCCTGGGTTACGAACAAGATCTATTCTTCAGGGCATCTTTAAATCGGATTTGTAGGTAAGTCAGAATAGGTGCATATGGTTTATATTTAGCCTTATTTTAGTGGAAGAAATGGTTCAAAGCCTTTTAAATTATTTAAAAGCTGTACATGCATCAAATGAAAGTAACTGTGATGAAGAATGTATTGTGAGTTGGTGCAATAGTTTCAAAATGAGGGCAAATTTACTTAACAGTAAAGGGTAAATATAAGTTGTCTGTAAATTAGACATTCATTAATGCAGAGACTTACAGTACACCTGTAATTAATCAGTACAATGCCCTAAATTTACTATTTTAAAATAAACTTGCTATTTTATAAAAGGGAGCTCTGGTGGCCTGGTGGTAAGGAATTGAACTGACAACCCAAAGATGGGCATTCTCCTCTGATTTACAGCTTCTATTTAGCCTGCTAGAGTGTCAGCTATGAGTTGGTTCTGACTTTATAGCACATAACATCATTATATAAAATTAATTTGGATAAAATATATTATGCAATAGTAATGATACATTAAATGTAAATATATCCTATAATATGCATGTTATAAGATATAAATAAATATACATAAATTATGTATTATATAAACAAGAGAAATAACATTTTAATATACAAATATTTAACATATAGGAAAAGTAAAACAAACGTAATTTACTACAGAATATTATTTAGTTTAAAACAGAAAGACTTAGGCATGGCTATATGGAAAGAATTAACAAAGCAGATATATATTTGTAATTCTTTACTTGGTGCCAAATCTTGTTCTAACACTGGGCATTCTCAACGCATTCAATCCTTATCTGAACCCAACATAGTAAACTACCATCATCCCCTCTTTATAGATGAGAAAAACTAAGGCACAGAAAGATTAGGTGACTTGTCCATAGTCCCTTAATCAATTTGCTTGCATTTATAGGTACTCAATGACTTACAGTCCACTGGAGCCCACAGATCTCTCCCAACAGCAGCTCTTCAGCTAAGGTTCCCTACCTGGCAGCCGGAGTGGTAAGCAGCTCATTCAAGGGATGATTTGACGGAGCCTCATGCTGTCTGGAGATTGCTGACACATCCTGGACACTGTGATAGAAACTTGAGGGCAAAAGTAGTAAAAAGAGAGGATAAAAGTCAGCTGTCTGTAATGACCCTGTGGCTGAGCTTTTGTCCTTCTCCATCTAACTTGTACCCTGGGCCAGGCTCACCGTCGGTGGTTAGTGCTCATGTCCACACAGACTGTGGGGACTTTGGACGAACAATGCTGGTGGAACTTGTAGCCACAGGTTTGGCAGCGGAAGCCATAGAACAGAAACTTAAGACAGAAGTCACAGAAGGCCAGGCTGAAGAAGGTCTTCCGTACCTGTTGCCACAGAATAGGAAAAGTTGAATCTCAGAGAAGGACCTTCCTCCTTTCCATAGTCTGTCCCTACTATTCATCCTGTACTCACAAAATTGTGCATGGTCAATGGAACGTCTTCAAGGACCTCAACAATGAGCTCTTCACCATCCAGGGGAGCAATGGCTGTGTCCCAGGCAGTGACTGTCTTTCGCCTGTAAAAGGCATGGAAGAGAATGTATTTGAGTCATGGAATTCCTGAAAAGTCCTTCCGAGCTTGTGATCCATATCTGAAAAATGTAGTTCTCATCACAGCAACTCTAGAGCTAGTTATTAGACTTGCCTCATTTCAGAGATGGAGAAAGTCAGGCACAGAGGGGGAAAGTGACTTGTCCATAGCTACAAGGGCAGGACAGTAAACAAATTAAATAATTTTTTAAGTATATAAATGAGGAGCAAATGAGATAGTAAATAACTCAATATTAGAACTACTGAACAAGTCCCAGAAAGGGCGGCTGATGAGAAACTGAACCAGTAAATAAAAAGCAGTAAAAAAAAATCCCAAACCCCCAAAACAAATAAAAACCAATTAAAAAAAAATCCCCTTGAACTCACTGCCATCACGTTGGGTTTTCAGAGGCTATAAATCACATGGGAGGAGATTGCTCATCTTTCTCCCACAGAGCAGCTGGTTGATTCAAACTGGCAGAGAGGGATGACCTTTGGATTAGCAGTGCAACACCCTACAGACCTATGCCTACCAGAGATCCCTAAGACAAAAAATTTTTTTCATTTTTTAAAATGAAAAAATTATTTTTGTGTGTATGTACCATCAAGAGCATCTGGTGGATTTGAACCGCTTACCTCTGGGAGTGAAGTGCAGTTTCTTGCCACTAGGCCACCAGAGCTCCCTTAAGATGAAAAAAAATTTAAAGAATTCCAGAACAGAGGAATAAATGGCTCAACGCAGCAGACAGAAAAAGGGGAAATAACAAAAAGAAAGCTAAAAATTACCAAAATAGTGTAAGAAGAAAATAGATGAACTCCTCTGAGAAGAGTTGGGCCAAGGAGTAAATGAGTTGCTAACCTTATAAAGTCAAATGAAATAATAAAACAAGATGGGTGAAGTCACAAATTAATGGAACTAATGGAAAACTGAGCAACCCTAGTAGTGCAAACAGTTAAGCACTTGGCTACTAACTGAAAGGTTGTCTGTGAACCCACTCAGTCACGTCACAGGAGAAAAATCTGGTGATGTGCTTTTGTAAAGATGACAGCAAAACAAAAACAAACCCCATAAGGCAGTTTTTACTCTGTCATATGTGCTGTTATGAGCAGGAATTTATTCCGTGGCACCTAACAACAAGAAGCATAAAAGGGAGAAGAAATAAGAATGGAAGACTATGGCAGAGACAAGGAGTCCAGATAACATGGACAAGGGAGTGCCACACTTACCCTTTGATGAGTCGGTAGACCACACAGCAGTCCTGATTGAGACCTCTCACTTTAAGAGCCTTGTCTAGAGAGTCGTAGACACTCATGCCATCCCGGACAGTAACCTGTGTGTGCATATGTGTAGGCCCTTCATGCCCAAAAGGGCATGCCCAGAAGACTTACCTACCCTTCCACAAAGGCTGCATCCTGATTGATGTCACCCTTCCACATCTACAACTGGGCTCATTCCTAATCTGTGCCAATTTTGCCTCTACTGGACTTACCACTGTGCGCTGCTTGTTGGGCAGGTAGACTTTGACAGTGCCCAATGACCGGGATGGGTCAGTCCCATTGGCAGAAGGTGCCCGGGACAGTTCCATGGAGTCTAGGACGTTGGCATGGGCTGAGGTGGGGCTGGACAAGTTCCATGGGGCTCCTAGGAGAAAAAAGATAGAAGAGGTACCTGGAAGTCCTCTAATACTCTGAAAGCAAAGTCATAGGGGACATAATAAAATTTAATCTTCAGGCTCTGTGTTGGCCTGTGAAAGCCAGAACAGTCCCAGGGATCCTATTATCACCTGAAAATAAACCAAGATCCAGTCCCTCCTCTACTCAGACCATCACTTGTCTCCATCACTACAGTGGATGAGGTTGGGGTAAGGGTTGCTATTAGGTGCCATCGAGTTGCCTGTGACTCATAGTGACCTTATGTGCCACAGCCCTAAACCCTGCTCTATCCTGTGCCAATCTCTGTAAGTCTCTGACATACCTACCCCAATACCCTAGTTATTGAATCCATCTCATCGAAGGTCTTCCTCTCTTGCACTGTCCCACAACCCTCCCAAGCATGACGTCCCTCTCTAAGGACCGGTCCCTCCTTGCAACATGTCCAACGTATGTCAGATGAAGCTTCCAAATCCTTGCCTCCAAGGAGCAGCCTACTCTCCCTCTCTAGGATGAACCTATTTGTTCTCCAAGCAGTCATTCAACACTTCTCCAGCACCACAGCTCAAAGGCATCAATTCTCCTTCTATCATCCCTAGTCATTGTCCAGCTTTCTGATGCATAGCAAAGACTATGGCCTGGATCAGGCATAACTTAGTCTTCATAATGACATTGTTGCTCTTCAGTACTTTGGAGAGGTCTCTGCCAGCAGATTTTCCCAATGCAATTCGTCTTTTTTAATTTCCTGGCTGTTGGTACCAAAAGTGTTGACTGTGCAACCAAGCAAACTAAAGTTTGGCTCCACAGTCAGTACAATGTCCCAGAAGATAAGAGAAGTACATAATACTCAAGAACTCTGTGCTGGGAACTAACACAGAAGGCAGCATACACAGCACTGTTAGGTACATAAAGGATGTACTTAACAGACTCTGTCCTAGCTTTTTAATGGAGGGGCGTTATCAGATACTGTGATGGAGAATGGAGGATCATGAGACACAGACTTCAATTTGAGGTGTATATATATGGTGGTTGTATCAAAATGTTTTTACAGTGTACTGTGGGCATCCCTAAGTCCTGAGGTGTAAAGTTCATGGGAGCATCACTTTGTATTAGGTGAGTAATGCAATTGAAGTTCATAGAGAGTCACTAGAAACTATGCTGGAGATGTATGAGAAAACAAACAAACAAAAATCCTCCCACCTGGATCAATAGACAACATCAGGATGAATGGAAAAAAGACTGAAATTGTCAAAGATTTCATTTTACTTGGATACACAATCAATACCCATGGAGGCAACAGTAAAGATAGCAAATGATATATTGGGCAAATCTGTTGCAAAAGATCCCCTTAAAGTTATAAGAATATAGATGTCACTTTCAAAAATAAAGCAGACCCAATTCAAGTCATGGTATTTTCAACTGCTTCACATACATGTGAAAAATGGACAATGAAGGAAAGCTGAAGAAAAATTATGATGTTGACAAGTACTCAATATACCATGGACTGCCAAAAGAACAAACCTGTTTTTGGAAGAAGTGCTGCCAAGGTATACCTTAGAGGCAAGATGATGAGACTTTACTTGCATATTTTAGGCATATGCTATCGATGAAAAGGACATTATGCTGAAAAAGTAGAGTCAGTGAAGGAGAGGAAGACTCTCAACGAGATACAATAAATGCAACAACTGGCTTAAGCTCAGCAGAGACTGAAAGGTGGTCACAGGATTGGGCAGGGATTCATACTGTTATATGATCGCTATATGAGTAAGAACACCATGGAATCTAACAACAGCCTTCTAAGCACAGAAGGGAGGATATGATGTAAGAATAAATAGGTCGATCAGTGAGATGAAAAATGCTAATATAATTAATGTGAATAAATAACATAGTTGATAATTACGAAGTAATAATCTAATGAGTCGAAATAATTTGTTTCTATTAAACTAATTCACAATTAATTCTAGTCATTTTTGCAGTCACTCACTCATATGGCTAGAAGGGAGTTCAACAGTGGCTGTAATGGGAAGAAGGGTGGATAATGGAGGTACCAGACATTGTCATGAGGAACGGCAAAGGAGGGTAACAGTACATCCTAGACACTGCTGTAAAGTGAAGGAAGCAGAGACTCCAACATAACGGAAGGTGAGAATTAATGGAAAAATTATCAGATATTCCCTTACTGAGTCAGAAATTGATCCAGAATATGGAACATGGGTAATGGGCAACTAAAGAGGGGTTAATGGGAACTTTACCGGGGTTAACAGGGAATTAAAGGTACATGAGACTACTGCCCACGACTCCGCCTTCAGCCAGAATGCACCTACCGGAAGCTTCCTGCTATGCGCAGGCGTACAGCCACTAAGAGCGGGCGAAACCATCACTAGACTTAAGACAGCCTTGTCTCTACCCTCCCCACCCCACCCCCCACCCATTGACGACGATGGTCTCGCCCCGGGTCAAACCACTTCTGCGGTTCCAGGAACGAGGCGCTGGGGCCCAGGCACAGCCACCCGGGAGCTGAAATTTCGGCCCAGATTCTTTGTTTGAGCCCCTCAGTCGCTCTAGAAAACTAGCTTTGCCAGGCCCACCCTCACCTGTCACGCCGCTACTACTGCCACCGCCTCCATCTTGGACCTGTCTTCTTGCCTCTTTGCAGGTTCCACCTTCACCACTCCATGGGCTTTCGCCATTGGCTGCGTGGGAATCAGCCATTTATCCTTATTGGATTGGCTTCGCTTCCATCAAGCCAGGCAGACAGTGGCTATTGTTCTATATTAGGGAGGAACTCTCTGAAACGTCACCATATGGGGCAAATGGGCGGCTTTGCCTGCGCAGGCGCAGTGGGTGTGAAGGCAGTTTACCTTGAGTCACTGGTTTGCTTAGAGTCCTAAGCCATAGCTGACCCTCCAGCAAGTTTTCAGAGACTGTAAATCGCACAGGACATGACCCATCTTTCTCCCGTGGAGCAGCTTCTGTATTAGAACTGCATGAATTTGGTTTGGCAATGCAACTCCATACCCTTTAGGCTAAATTAGGCAGTGCAACTCCTTACCCATTACCAGAGGTCCTGGAATACAAACCTAATTGTATCTTTTTTTTTTTTTTTTTACACAAATAATGAATTTAAGTCCTGAAAACAACAAACTAAAAAAAAGATAATATTGAACATTTAATAAGCGTGGGGATCCTCCTCCTGAAAGTGTCTTTCATTACACACAATTCTAATTGTATCTTAAAGGATTAAAACAAGAGTTTTGGGTGAGCCTGAATCGTAATTTCAGAATCTGGAAAGAATTTTGCTTGGGTGCCCACTTGTCCTAGAGATAAGCGAGTTTTATTTTTCCTCTGCATATAGGCAATTAACACTAATGGTCACCTCAATGACCAGGTGAATTAGGATGAGAAGAATTTCATGAAACAACATATGAGCAAGAGCCTATGGTGATGAAAGAAGAAGTTCAGGCTGCTTTGAGGGAAATGGCAAAAAATAAAGCCCTAGGAATAGATGGTATACCAACTGACATATTTCAG